CAGGCCCAGACTTTTGGGGGGGGATGACCCGCCCGAACCCTTTTTTGGGTTTTGGGTTTTAAAGACCCTACGCCCCCCCCCCCCCCCCCCCACCTCTCCTCCCCTCCTACCAGCGCGTGGCCCAGCCATGCAAGCGGAGGAAGACTCCGAGGAGGAGTGGGCGCGCCGCGCGGATGCGGCGCTGCTTCTGGAGCAGCAATACAATGGGGCGCGCAGCCGGTCTGCGCCTGTGGCGACGCCGCCGCCGCGGCCTGCCATCTCGCCTCCGTCGCCGCCACCGGCGGCTGCGCTGGTGCGTGCGGGGGGCTCTGCGGGGCAGGCGGCGGACGCGGACCCGTTCGCGCTGGCGCTGTCACGGCGCGACGCCCAGATAGCCCGGCTGACGTCGGAGCGGGCGGGCGAGACGGCCAACTTCCGCAACCGCGTGCGCGCGCTGCAGAACCAGCTGCTGGCCGCGCGCAACGCCGCGTCGGCCGTGCAGGCCGCCGCGCTCGCGCCGCGCGTCGCGCAGCTGCAGGACGAGAAGGTCCGCCTCGCGGCCGAGCTCCGCGCCGCCCAGCGCGATGCCGTCGCTGCCGGGGAGAGGCTCGCGTTTGCGGAACACGAGCTCCGCGAGGCCAGGGATAGGGAGAAGCAGCACTTGGCCGCCATGAGGGGCGCCGCCAGAACGCCAGAGAAGGCCCTGGATGTTAGGGACTTTGGCATGCTGCCGGCCGGCGCACTCACGCCGGTCGCGGCGTCGCAGGCCGGCGGCACGCAGGGGCTCGATGTTGTGGAGGCGACCCAGGTCGGCGTCGGGAGGCGGCCGGCCACCGCCACGGGCGTCGAGATGACCAGGAGCACTGTACGCGCCCCCGTTCGCCGGATGAGGAGGCCCAGTACAGCTGGGGGGAGGCTGGGTAGTGGAATGGGGAACGCGGCAACCGCAGTTGCAATGCGTGCATCGGAGTTTGGAGGGACGCAACGGGCTGCACCGCAACGTCTGGGTGCGGGCAAGAGGCGTCTGGAACAGCGCGAGGACGAAGACGTGGCCATGACGCAGCCGCTCGCGAAAGACGCACCAGAGGCTGTCAGCCCTCACGACCAGCAGCACGGGTGGGGCGTGCGTCTGTCGGAGGCGACGTGGGAGTACGGCGCGCTGCGTGAGCGGTTGTTCAGCAGCGACATCGGCGACCGCCTGCTGGAGATCGCGACGACGCTGAAAGAGAAGCCACTGCGGGACGCGATTCTCCGCGCCATGGCGAGCGACGCCGAGTGGGGCGCGCTGCTGGAGCCCGTGGCGTCGCTGCAGGACGCCGGGCGCGGCGCCACGCTCGTGTCCGCAGAGTGTCTGGCGGAGCTGCTCACCTTCTCGGAAGACTGCCGACACCGGGTGGGGCGCGGCGAGACCAGCGTGCTGCGACGCACGGGCGCGTCGTTGGCACGCGCGACGCGCGACCGCGACGCAGGCGTGGCCGCCGTCTGCTTGCAGGTGCTTGTGGCGGGCGCGTGCGGGATCGGTGAGGTTGGCGCGGACGGGAGCGCGGACGCGCGACGCGAGGTCAGCTGTGAAGCAGCGCTGGACTGGATCCGAGGGCTGGCGGACGAGGATGGGGCGGCGGCGGGCGAGGCGAGGCGGGGGTCGGTTGCGTTGGTAGAGGCCGTGACTGGGCTGGTGCTCGAGGACGAGGAGGAGGTGGGCGAGTCGCAGGAAAGCGATGACGGAGGGTGGCGAGCAGCAGAGTGGATGTTTGTGGAAAAGGCGTACCTTTGCATGAGCGATGCGATCACGAACGGGGAGGCGGATGACTACACGCTGAAGCACGGGTGCGCGATGCTGGTGCGGGCGGGCGTGAACGCGCCATACGTTGTGGCGGAGCGGGGAGGGAGCGAGGCGGCCGCGAATGCGTTGATGCACGCGGTAAGGTTAAAAGACAATGGGTTTGCGACTGGAGTTGTGATTGCGTGCGCGCAGACGCTTTGTATGACGATTGCCGGGAGCGAGGGGCATGCAGGTATTGCGCCGCATACGCTGAATGTGCTCTTGGGCGTGATTGCGGGGATCGAGGGGGATGGGGCGGTCGCTAAGGAGTGCAGGCAAGTGACGAGGGCTTTGGCTAACATGAAGAACAGAATAAAGTGGGATGAAGGGTAGTGGGGATTTGGGAAATGAGAGACAAGGAGAAGGCTGTTGATGAGAGAGAGCGAATAGGAAACATGCGATGGGGAGTGGTAATGCACAAAATCGGTCACAGATGTGGGTCTCTTTTGCTGTATGAGGTGGTGGAAATTATCGGCTCCCTAGAGGGGTGAGGCGATGCAGTGTCCCTGAAGGATGCAAGTTGCGATGGAGTTGAGCAAACTCTCTGATGGGAGGCGATGTCATGCGAGTAGAGTGCTGCAGCGCGCCGCTGTGGCTTCTTGCCACTTGTCCCCCTGAAGAGTTGTACCTCGTTGATTCCGGTTCCGTAGAATCAGCCTAGTTGTCAGTGAGGCACTTCACAGTGTGTGAAGGACGTAGCTCGTCGAGTACGTTTGGGAAAGATGGTTGCAGGACTTGCCTTGTTTACCATACATAAAGGCGATGCGAATGCCCGTTTACGACGGTAAAGAAGGAAAAATTTCGGCACGGGGTTGATCCGTCCGCAGGGGGTGGATCAAAATGGACCAATTCTTCCCACATTTTGAGCCCTCCTCCAGTCCGCGCCATCCCTCCGCCACCGCAGGCACATGCCCAACTCACACACAATCCGTTTTCGGGAGCACCCGATTGCGCAGCCCCCTCTCACCCCCCGATGACTTCCAAACGCGAGCCGAAGCGCAAGCCCGGCCGCCAGCCGGGGCGCAACTCCCGCCAAGGCGGCGCCTCGTCCAACTTCCGCGCCTCGCTAGATGTCGTCGACCTCGCCGTGGCGCGCTCATCAGAGCTCAAGGCTCTTCGCGCGGCGGTGTCGACGATCAACGGCAACCGTCGTGTCTACCAGCAGCTCTCCTGGCACGCGCGCCGCCGCACCATGTCGCACTCCTCCCGCCGCATGCCCGTGCGCCTGCGCGTGGCACACGCGGCGCAGCTAGCCAAGCAGCGCCCGCCGGGGCAGGCGGAAAAGCCGCCGGGGCCGCGCGGCGCGGCGCGGCTGCGCAAGTACCGGAAGAAGGCCCGCTTCCTGGACGCCATACGAAAGCTCCGCGCGAAGAACCCCGCGTGGCTGGAGACGCACGTGTGGCACGCGAAACGCTTCAAGATGGGGGCCGTGGGCGGGAGGAAGGTCGCGCTTCATTGCAATGATAGGGGGTTTCGGTCAGCGTATAGGGCGACGGCGCATGCGAGCGTCGCGCATGACGCGAGCTATTTGGCCATGGTTGAGGTGCGGGCAGAGGAGAAGACCACACTGAAGGAGGTCGTTAGACGGCGCATGGGGTTCGAGGATGGGAGGAGGGCCACGACGGATCCGGTTACGGAGGGGACGAGGCGGGTTACCGATTTGATGGTGCGGGATGAGGATGGCACGCAGATTGCCCCGGTGGATGTTCTTTGGCGGCCGGTTGCTGAAGGGCAGCTCTGGATTTGGGTGCTGCCGGTGATGAAGGAAAGTATTGAGCAAACTTTCAGGAAACAGTTTCAGGGTGAAAGCGAGAATGCGTGCACTGTGTCGGAGGAATCCCATCCCCCGTTGTGCTTCACCTTGTTGGGCCCGCGTACCGGAATTGTGCTAGCTTCTGTGCTTTTGCCACAGGGCGACTACGCTCATGGGCTGAAGCTCATCACTCAAGTCAGATCTGCAGCATGCCTCCCTGCCGCGTGCGTCTACTCTGGTGCTGCGTCTGATCCGCGGCGGGCATTTCCGCCGAAGACGATGGGGAAACACAACAAGAACGTCAAAGTCATCACCGACGGATTCCACGATGCCTTCAGGAGCGTCGACGATTCGGAGCTTTGGGATGCCGAAAGGCGAAAGAAATGGAGGGATTATATTATTGACGGCGTTAAAGAAGTACCAGGTGGAGGGCCCGTGCAGATACCCTTTCTACTGATCCAGAAAAACTTGAACGAAGAACACGGTTTTGCTAGTGGGTGGGATCTTGTCATTCCGGGGGGTTGGGGCATGGCATTTTGGGCATCCTTGATGTTTTCAAACGGCAACAGAGCAATTGGACAGGAGGAGCTGCGGTTGCTTCGCCTCGAAGCCAACCAACCAATCTTTCCAGAGGACTTTGCTGATACTATCAGTGGGAGCATGGCCTTGCGCGAGGACGAGAAGAACCTTATGGCAGCATACCTTCGAAGGCCAAAGTCGAAGCGCGTCAACTACACACTAAATCGCATCGACTCCCCCATGTACCCCGCCCTTGCAAAGGTTGCGGAACAGGAGTGGAGGCGAGTGACAGAGGACAAGGATTCTACGCGGCCTATGAAGAGACCACGATCGGAGAGAAGCGCAGAAGACGTGAAGGAGGATTTGGTAAGGGATGCGGACATTGAAATCATTCGGAGCCAGCGAGAGCTGAGGACATGCCTTGGTAATGCATTTCTGTCTTGCTGTCCAACATTGCGGCGGCGTGGTTCCGGTCGTCCACAAAAAATGGTGGCTCAACTCCCCGACTCATTGAGTGAGAATACTATGGTCTTGAACAGCAAAAGGTTCACGCGAGTGGTTCTGTACGCTCCGGGGAAGGGATCACCCATGAAGAATGCAATCATTTGTGAAGCAGATCCCTCTGATTTGATAGCGATGCGTGAGAAGAACGGGAATGCCTACACGGGATTCCGAGAATCAAAAGCGAAGCGCGGCGATTCTGCGCCAGCGAGGGACGTTATCGGGTATGTAACGATTGGTGGTTTCTCGCTAACTCGCGGGAGCGGCATTGGCAACGGGGTTGTTTCCGTCAACTCTCTTCGACGACTTGTTGGGAAAGGGGCAGTCATCCCTAACGGGCGACGGAAGGGCGTGGAGACCGGGGGCATTATAGTCCTGTTTCGGAATGTGAGTTCGCTTCATTATCGCCCTGCGTTGATTAGAGTTGTTCCATGAGTCTAGCTCTGCGGACTCACGTGCGTTGGACACACAACTCATGAAACTCAGGTGAGTTGGAATCTGTGAGCTGAGATACTTGTAGATGTGGAACCTGTCCGTCCAATCTGCTGACGAGGACTGTCAGATTTGGATGCAACAATATTTCCTAATGAATGCACTGTACAGTACTGTGCTGTGTGCCTATAGAAGGGCATCCCTCAGGGGACCGGTAACGCATGGATGGATCCATATCGATACTCGTATAAAGGCTGCGAGCTGAGAAACGACGCCGACATTGGCTCAACGCATCACTGCGACCACTGTGAGAACCGATCTACCGTGTTGGAAGTGATAGCTCCCTCTATTGTTTTGGGCGGACACCTTCTTCCAGCTGTATGAGATCAACGTGCATGACCTGAGCTGTCTCTCTTCCACCGACGAAACCTTTCCCGACAGGCAGAGCAAGGGGAGTCTTGGTGTCTCTCATCGAGGCAAAGGCGACACACCATGAGGTCTATATCAAACTGCCATGGCATTGGAGTCTGCGAGGAAGCAGAATCGCTGACCCCGTCCATCATGTCACCGCATCGGAGGAATGATAGAGACAAAGTCCTTCTCGGAATCTTCACAGACATTCAATACGCTGACAAAGATAGCGCCATGATTGGAGTAAGTTAGCCATTCGCCTAGCGATGACTATTAGGCGCACTTTACACTCCAGCATGTTCTCACCGATGATATTTCTTTCAACTTTGTGTATACCATGCTCTTCCCGCAGAACAAACGACGCCACTACCGTGCGGCCCTCACCAAAACCGAACGGGCGGTAGCAAGCTTCAACGAAAGCGACGCCCTTGCCGTCGTCCATCTCGGGGATATCATCGACGGCGTGAAAGAGTGCGGCATAGTCTCTACAGAGCGCACATACAAGGACCTGAGGCGGGTTCTGTCAGTGCTCTCGCACCTGCGCAAACCACTATTGCACGTACTTGGTAACCACTGCGTGCTCCTGGAGCGCGAGTCTCTCCTGACCACGCTCAAGATTGAGAAGCCCGGCTACTACTACCGCAACCTGTCGTCGATGTGGCGGTTGATCGTGATCGACACGGTGGACGTGTCACTAAATCGCGACCGCAGACATCCGCACTTTGCTGAGGCGCGCGACTACCTGCAGGCGCACCGTGGCGAGCCACACGCGAAGCTATGGAACGGAGGGCTGGGCGCAAAGCAGACGCGTTGGCTCGAGCAGATACTGGCGCGCACGGCAGCGGACGGGCGCTTCGCCGTGGTGTGCGGGCACATCCCAATCGTCGAGGAGGCCAGCGAGAGCGAAGGCGTGATTTATGGCCACAAGGAGGTGGAGAAAGTGCTAGCGGCACATGGTTGTGTCAAGGCGTACTTTTCCGGGCACCACCATGCAGGGGGTTATGCGCATAAAGGTGGAATTCATCATGTCACGTTCGAGGGCATCATAGACGCTGATGATGATAATGGGGCTTTCGCGCTGGTGGAATTACGGAAGGATAAGATTGTTGTGAGGGGTAGGGGTACCATGACGTCTCGCGCGCTCCAGATTGGGTAGGGGTTGTAGCCGGCAGCTAGGATGTACCACACGTCGGAAAGGGATGTGTGGGGTTGCGTATCTGCAGACATGACGTCAAGGGCTGTCGCAAGTTCGACTGAGCTTGTTCAAGTTGCGCCAGTGGAGGAGAAAGCTTTGAGAAAAGGCACACATGCAGTGGTACAACTTGTTGATTGGGCGATGTGCCGATAAAAGTCTGTGGATCAGCATAGCGCATTCCGCCTCGTCAGCTCACGTCTCTAAACAAGCCAAGACGTGCTGGTACACCTTCTTCTCCTCCTCATGCAATTTTCCAATAAGTTCTTGCGCCGCCTTCGAAACGCCCTCCCGTACCTCTTTATACTCCTGTACCTTCCTCTCTGCCGCTTCCCTCACAACTCGCCTGGCCTTGTCCTCCTCCTCCCCCTCCAACGGCTTTCTCATTGACTCTTCTCCCCCCTTCAGCAGCCGCCCAACGCTCTCCTTCCTTGCCACCATTACTCTGGCCACGCCGAGCGCTCTCTCTGCACTCTCGTTCGACGCGTCGACCGTCAGAGGCACGATCCACCCCTGCTCCCCTTCCAACTCCTCCACTGTCATGTTCACCTTTCCCAGCACCACATTTGCCTTGAACTTGGCCAGAGCCATTTCCTTCGTCAGCCGCAAGTCCAACGCCACCTTGTCGTATTCATTGTCCGTCTGCACAAACCCCGAATACAACAAAAGCTCTACGTTGGGGCGCTCTCCGTACGACATTGTGATCGCCTCTCCTTCTTCAAAGTCCCGCATCGCCTTGCTTTCTACTACCACCTCCCCGTCCGCGGACAACCCCACCGCCGTTGTCGCCGGGCCCGGGCTGTGGTTGCACATGTCCCAAACGGGCACCAGCGCGCATTGCGTCCCTTTACCCGCGGGAATCTGGTTCTGTCTCGTCATCGCCACGGCCGTTGCCCACACGTAGTTGTCCCACGATAGCAGCGACGCGGGCAGGCCTGGAATCTTGTTTCTGTGCAGCAGCGAATAGATGTGCGTGTAATCCCTGGCCGTGGCGCGCAACGTCTTGATGGCAGCCTCCGCCGCGCGCGAGGGAGCGAGTGCGAGCAAGTCGTCGGGGGAGAAGGCGCAGAGCGGGATGGAGAAGGAGGCGGGGAGGGCGTTAATGTACGGCGCGAAGCGCGATGAGGGCGCGGCGGATTCGAGGAGAAGTTGCAGCACGAGGGTGAGTGAGGGCATGGCGGCGACCGCTGGGGCCGACTTGAGCAGTAGGCTCAGGGGGGAGCCCGCGGAGCGATCGGGAGCGAGGATGAGGGCGTCGGAGACGCATATAAAAAGTTGATGTTTTGGGATGCGGCGGGTCGCGAAGAGCGTGGCATTGTCATGGTGCGAGTCGAGGAAGCCCAGGCGAAAAGGCGAGGTGGCGGGGTCTAGGCCGTGTTCGGACAGCCAGGCGGTGAAGGTCGCGAGGGTAGAGGGGGTGCGCGTGGGGATGATGGAGGTGTAGTACGGGGATGCTGTTTGGAGACGCTGTATTTGGGAAAGGAGTGTGTGCAGTTCGTTGAGAGGAGGATTAGGGGAGGACCAGAGAGGATCCTCGACCAGGTTTCGGAGAGCGGTGAGCACGGATAGGATAGCCGGGGGAGGCTTCGGGAGCTTTTGGCGATGTTTGGCCGGCGGCATGGAGGGGGAGTCGCGGTGAGCTGAACGATTGCGAGTACAGTACGAGATCACAGACAAATATACCTTGGAGAAGGAGGTTGAGATTGGTGGACGGGATTGAAGTGACGGGGATGAGCAAAGGGCAGGTTCGGTGTTTCATTGACGAAGGTGGAGAGGAAGGTCGTGTATTTTTTCGGGGGCGTTTGCCGCGGAGGAGGAGCTGCAGTTTTATTAATAGACGTACACCTTCTGTCGGCTGTAAATGTTCACAGGTATGGACGTGTCTCACCCAAAATGTGGTGAGCGCTCCTCCTCCTCTTCCTCCTCTTGTCCTGCGACTCTCTCATGTCGTAGCTCGGCCCGTCCGCGATTGAGCTTGCCTCTTTTCACGCAACCGGTACGTTGGGTACCCAAGGGTAGAAGTTGTGCTACAGTACCAAGACGAATAGCGGCTTTTCGACTCGGAAGGGACCAAGGCTTTACTTTGGTAATATCAACAAGAGTCTTCTACAAACGACATGGAATCGCATAACCGGCCTGTGCTTGCCAAATAGAGCTGACTCGTCGCCCGCTTCGCCCCCCGACCTAAGTTGGGACCTGTATCTAGTATACAAAACCAAGATGCCAACGGCAACTAATCTGAAACTGCAAAATAACATTTGGCCTTAAAGTGGCAGCGGAGCTCACTTGCCCGACCTTGAGGCGGACGGGCGAGTGATGACATACTCTTCGAGATGGCCGCTCGACTTCTTGAGGCCGGTGCCGATGTACGACTCCTCGTCTACTGGCGGGAGCTTTGTCTTTCTCGACCGCGACGACGTGTTTCCGGCCTTGTCCTTGCCTCTTGTAGTCTTCTTGGTGAGTCCGAGAACCATGATAACGAATGGTTCTGGGGTTGGGTTTGTGTGAGAAAGTTGGCGTTGAAGGTGAACCGGGGCGCGTGTTTCCCGTCACGACCGCGAGCAAGCGCACCGACTCCCTTTAAAGCGGCACAGCAGGCACACGCGCTCCTCCAGAGATGCCGGCATTCGAACGAAGGGGGCCCAGTGTCTTGCCACTGTCTTGAGGAGCGAAGGCTTGCACATGTGGCAATGCGCTGAAGGATATAAAGAGCCCTCTCCGAAACGCGATTTGTGCGTCGATATGACCCTTGAGAGAGAACTCAAAAGCAAACTGATTTACGCACATGGCCCTTCACCCCATTACACCTGAGCTGTACTCACCACTCGAAAGGCACCGCACTAGCGGACACATGAAGTAATCTTCGCTTCACACGTTTGTCGTCCGCGCCGATGCTTACCACTGCCACGGTGGCACAACATCAAGGCCTGCCTACCGCCCTTTTGGAATGCACAACGCCCAAGCCGCCACACACGCGGGCGCCCTATGCGAAGAATGGTTGTTATTCAGTGGTTCAAGGGGTTCAAGTTCAAAAAAAAATCCCAAAAAAAAAATACCTTTCAGGTGGTTCAAGGGTGTCGTGCATGTGTCAAAGTGCACATCCTCTATTCGCGCCTGTATCCGCCAGTGGTCTCATTGGTTGCCAACCCTCTGTCCTCCCTAACCGGATTAGGGCTATGATCTTCCGTTATGATAACCCATACCGTATTCTCGCATACCTTGCGACCCCGCTCCCTGCACGTTATTTCATGCTGACGTTTTCACGCAGACATCCTCTTGCAGGCCATCTTCTTGCAGACATCTTCGTGCAGACATATTATCGCACTTGCTCTTCCTGATCCGCCCCACCATCCCCCCGCGTGGCACCTTATCAATGTCCGGCTCGACTTTCTTGGCCCCCAGAGCCCGCTCTACTGCGCCTAAAGCGCCACTTTTTTTGATCCACGCGCGCACTGCCATGGCACGCGTCGAGCCACGTTGCCAATGCTACGCAACTACTCTCCGGCAACTCTCTCTCGCAACCCCACTCCGCTTGTCCCCATTCTTCTCAATCCGCTTGCTGCTTCCCGAAGACCGACGAGGACGAAAACCAATCCCTACACTAGAGCACTCTGCCCGCCTCTTTTCGTCGCATAAATCCTTTCATGCTGCCCTTTTCTCCTCTTGTTGCCGTCTCTGGACCGCATTTGACACGCATGTCTCACTAGTTTCTCGCCATATCGCCATAACTTTACGTTCAAATAGACAACACAACGTGCGCAGAACAAGTATAAAACTTCTTCTTACTAGCACATTTCTTGAGCCGCTAATAAAGCCATATACATACAATCCCTTCCTGGACCTTCTCGTATCGACCAAAGAACAGTGCATTTATCTAGTTTAGCAACGAAGACATACATTCAGGGTTGCCGATGTAATCCTTGCTATGAACGCGAAGTACATACAAGACAGGGAGGTGTAAACAATGCTGTAGCAATGGGTTGGCGTTGTTTTGAGGTTTTGTTATTCTGGTTGACTCGAAACACTCATGCACATCGTCCCTTCGTTCCGGCATAGCCGAAAACTCGCCGAGAGTCTTAAAAGTTTTGGCAGGTCATGATGGCCTGAGGCTCTCAATTTGGACATATGTTAGAGCTGCACAAAGCAAAATGTCACAACTGAAAACAACCTCTATCTGAGTATATCATTCCATGCATTATCAAGATGAACAGCGTTATCCCGCGCTTAAAATCAAATCCATCCGCCAGTCCTGCACTAGGATGGAAACAAGCAAAATTTCAAGTATACGTGCCCAGATCAATTCCGGTGACAGGGCACTAAACTGCCTACCTCACAGAGCTTTGCACCGTCAAACACCCTGGAAAGCGTAATCGAAGCATTGCTATTGCGCATGTTTGGGCACACCATATTGGTCCTTCTCTCTTAGGTCTGCGCCATATTGCGGTTTGCGCATTCAACAAGACTCGAGTATCGCGATCTCTGCGCAGAATGTGACGAACAAGCGACTCGTCAGAAAACGCTCACCATTGAAGCTAAATTGGTTTACAGCTGCTTGTCTTGCTCTACGCAGGGGTAAAGACAAGCAGCTGTAAAATACTTTAGCCTAGAAAAGATGCCATCGATCTGTCGAAGTAGTGTACAGTGCTGAGAGGTAGGTACCGCATGACGATGGAAGCGAGCCAATTGAACAACTGATTTGGCTTGCATCGCTCTGTAATCTGCGCACAGCAAAAATTAACTACAATATTAGTCTAGATTGCTTCTAGCAGCGGACACCTTTGAAACAAAAAATTTTGCACATGAACCTAACCTGATTAGGTGCGCACTTGAAGACCTGAAAAAGTGAAAGTGCAGCTTGCTATTTGCCATTCATCGAGTGCCCATCAACTGTTGTGATCAGTTGTACCTCTCCCCGCGCCGTGGCCGTGTAGATCTACACTTGGCGGTAAATTTATATCTCACTTGTATCTCCCGCGCCTAGTAAAATTTCGCCACCTATTTCTACATTGCCAGCTTGTCGCGCCCTACTACGACGGCACTACAGCACGGATTTACCTACGTAGGATAGGAAGAGATTACTTGTCATCTTGTCTCCACAGTTGCTCCTGCACAAGGTAGAAAGACAACGGACGCAATCGGAGGGCTGTGTCGCAAGCGAATTTCGAACCAAAGTTGATGACCAGTACACAACACAGTACCTACACGGTCCATCTCTCTCCTCACGTCATTCGCTCGTTCTTCACCATCCCGCGCTCTCTCATTTGCCCATGCGCCATCCGCGCCAACGGGAATTGTGGTGTTGTTTCCTTGGGAGCATCTCCCGATTCTACGAAAATTTATTTCGTACAAGAAACCAGGGCCGGGCCAGTCACTATCATCACTGTACGACAATCCCAGCGCGACCCTCGGTGCAAATTATAACGGAATCGTCTTTCGCATGCCATGCCAAAACTTGCTTCCTCTACGACGCCGTGCCTTACCGACGAGATGACCACTGTTTCATCTTACATCAAATGCGAGGGCACTTCAAATGCCTCGGTGCACCGTCGTCGACGAAAATTCTGCCCTTTTGGCGACATCACGTTGTCACTAGCTTACTTGCATCGCGGTCGGTCGGCGCAGTTCACAGAGAGAATATCTCTTGGTCTTAGTCTGTTTACTTTTTTTTTCGTCTTTTGTTAGCGATTAGAACACTCTCTAAACTTGTAGAGCTGTTGCCCTCGTCGTGCCGTAATTGTCAAACCAGTCGTGTTCCAGAGCACGACCATTCCTTTCTTGTCTTGAAAGTTGCCGTGATTGACTGTTGTGGGTCAGTGTTATGGCAGTGACAACCTTTGCGGATCTCAAATGTACAGTTAGCAGAAAAGTAGTCGGGTACAGTTTTCTTGAATTTTTTTAGTCGTCTTTTCTTAATTCGAGTCATCACCACCTTTCATGAGGGGATCTTCATCCAGTTATCCGTCACAATGACTCAAATTCGCATCACCACGGCCTGTCATTCTTCACCAATTTGATTAGTGATTTGTAGCAGATGATTTGGAACCTGCATTTCAGGCACCGACATCAAGTCTGTAGCTCCGACGACGCCGTGGTCCTCATTGTCATGGTGGCCACCGTGCGTCCCGAGATGCTGAGTTGTGTGGGCTGTCGAGTGCATTCCATGAATGTCATGGAGCCGCGACGCAGATGACACAACGCTCGTGGGATGATGGTGCAAACCATGCGAGTTTGATAAGCCCGGGTGCGTAGTGTTGCTCGAGCCATAGTGCTGTTGTGAAGCTACACTTGGTTGCGGCCGCTGTTGTAGGGCATTAGTCAGGCGCTTCATGTCGCCCGCGGCCAGCTCCTTTTGCTCCTTTGTGACGGGTATCTTTCGGCGTGGGATGGGCCCATCTGCATATTCCGTGGGCGCAAACTTGCTAAAATCGTAGGCTGGATCGTTGGGATGAAACAAGGCTGCGTAGCGCGCCATGTCCCTTTCCATCTCGGCCTTCTTTTTTCGTCGAATCCCATACACAGAGCAGTAGGCGCGTAGCTGGTTGCGGTTGTACGCCTTGATGTCGCTAAACGTGAGGCTTTCAATCGGCTTGATCTTCTCAGTCTTCAGCCTGTTAATTTTAGTATCCGGCAACTGCTCCAAGATCTTAAACTGAATGCCATCAGCCTCGTACGTTGGGACGGAATGCGACAGGCCGGTGGGGTCTGAATGGGCAGCCAGGGTCTGCGCGGCATGCGACTGCGCGGCCATCATCATGGTCTGGGCATCATCGCCCAAGATGGCGCCATAAGGCGAGGTGCGAGGCTTGCGCAACTGCCTCCTCTTCTTATCGATGGCACCCGAGAGGAGAGCCGGGGAGCCAAAATGGTTGGAGAGATGACTATTGCTAAGCGATTGGGTGTGCGGGTCCTGTGTTGCGTGGATGAGGTTTGAAAACGGGGGCATGGGGATGCTGGAAAACGAATGCAGGCCCGGGATGGGATTGACGGAGGGCATGGTAGTCTGCATACCCGCCAGGGAGGTGGCAGTCGGGTGCATACCTGGAATAGAGTTGAGCCCCGGGTAGGGTTGGTGCGTGGGTATGGCGGAGGTAATTGCGGACATTGCGGGCGGGATGTGCATGGAGAAGGGCGGGGAAGGTTGGGGTTGGGAGGTCGGGTACCCCCCGCGGTTGAGATGCATGGAGCCTTGGCCGCCTGCCATTGCTGAAAAGCACAAGGTGGGCAGGGTCGGGAAGGCGGGGGCGGGAGCGGGAGCTAGGCGGTGCTCTTGGAGCGTGCAAGTGGGTCAGAGGGCAGTTCCAAAAGGCGAGGTCGGAGGGTTGGGCAAGTGGTCGAGCCCCAGAAAAAGAGGATCGGGTTTCTCGCGGCGGGTCCCGGGCGGCGGGTTGACGTTGTTCGATAGATGAGGGGGATGTACGAGGGTGGGCTCGGGTTGGGAGGAAGGGGGGACAAAAGAGTAAGGGCGGGCGAAACGCGGGGTGAGAAGGGTTGTCCTTTATGACGGGCGGGATGCCGGACAGAGGGGATGCGGAGGGCAAAAGTGGTGGGAGTGCGGGCAGGGGACGGGACGCGAGCGGTGTTAGTGCGGAAGAAGAGCGCGGGGGCGAGGTGTGAGGGGGCCAACGTTGAGGGGTGTTGCGTGCAGACGTTGAATGGAAAGAAATT